TTAATCAAAGAATAATTGCCTTTTTGTGTCCAAAAAGCGTTAACAATGTAATAAATGTAGTGTTTGTTTACATACATTTTGTTTTTGTCTTCCCTTTTCATTTGATGAGAAGTCAAAGCAAATGCGAATCAAGCAGTGTAAACACCTTCAAATGACTGATTTCAAATCACGCATTTTGGTCCAATGTAAATGTAATATTATGGTTAAAACAATTCAAGTTTTAGTATTGAATTTTTGGTTTAAAATTTTTTTTTTTCCTTTTTTGCACATTATCTTCTGCATGAGAATTGGTCGTAATAGATACGGATCTGAATAAGCGACTGGAACACGACTGTTTGTCAAAAGCATACGATTTCGAACTCGCGTAAATGTAAATTTGCTAAATGCGATAGCATGAACGCTCTTCGAAAATATATGTTCGAAAGTGCTAAATGTTGCATTTTAAATGCAGCAAAAACGCTGCATAATACTGTATTTTAAACTAAAACCATAGTTCATTATTATTGAAATATGTAAACAGTGAATTCAAAAGACATGTTAACCATCGTAAAATCTTAGGCAGTATCTACACACACGCGCCACGGTAACTTTTACCGTAGTAAAATTACCGTATATCCACGGTAGAATTACCGTATATCCACGGAAGAATTACCGTATATCCACGGTAGAATTACCGTAGATCCACGGTAAAAATTACGGAAAAATCTGACTACGATGGATTATGTAATAGCCCTCAATAAGTTTTATCTCTGCGTGAAAATCTTAGAAATCTTAAAAAAATTTTTTGTGATTGAAAAAATTAAAAACTAAATAATTATTTTCGTTGAGCCAAGAAATAAAACTCAATAATAATCATAAAATAATGATTAAAACTGATTTTAATTATTTTCCTGATGCTGACTACCGTCCCTGGTAAAAACGTAAAGGCCGGTTTCACCAACCTAACTTAAGTTGAACTTAAGTTATAGTTGAGAAAAATCTTATACCATGTCCCCACCGCAACTAACCACGTAGTTATGGCTAATGAGTTGGTTATCCCGATAACCCACTTGATTTAGCGTAGTTTCGCCATATTAAAATGACAGCACTAAACAATTTCACTGAGATGGTTAAAAGCTAACCAAGTCGAAACCACGTCGAAAGTTTGATACAACCCTGTGTTTTCCCGCCATCTGTGGGTCATTAGCGTTAAAATGTAAAAAATTCGTTCCCTACTAGTGTTTGGACTTCAATAAGATCACATTAGATTTACTCCTCTTTTTGGAAAAATTTGAAATCTAGTCCTCTACTCCGCTTGAATTCAAATCTACTCCATTTTTTCAGTCATGTTATGCCCCTTTTGGGACCGTTTTTGAGTGTTCACCACCAGTTTCAGTGAAAGTTAGCCAAATCTCGCTGTTAAAAAGTAACTCGTTCATAGCAATGTGTCAATAAAGTAACTTCGGTAATTTTTGATGTATGGCTGTAGAAATTGGCGGATGCAGAGCTTTACTTAAGTTGTTAAAAAATATATGTAGAATGAAATTTATATAAAGTTGAGAAGGTTTAGATCCTATTGCTCTTTAAAAAATGAAGTGTTAGATACGTTCTACTTTATAGAAAATGCCAAAAATTACCTAAATATGTAACATATTATCCTTACATGGACTCGCGTTTTAATTTTTGCATGAATAGAAAATATTTAAGTCAAACAATTAATGTCAGAAACGAAAATAAAAAATTCAATCTAGTACGGAAAATTTGTTTTTGCTCCGACTTTTGCACCGATTTAGTCCTGAATCGAGTTTTGGACGTCCGACCACTGTTCTCAACATTTGTACTGTTTTATAAACCTCAAACCGCAGTGTGGACAGCAATAGTTAGTGATGTGGTTAAGTTCGATTTAAGATAGTCAACTTTTTGGTGGGGACATGGTATTAGCTAAGATCAGTTAAAGATTTTGCTAAAATTTCAGTTTCACGATGCATACTTAAGTATGGAAAATATGCCATTCTGAAATATGGTAGCACCGCAGCGAAATGCTTTGTTTACGTACTTTGGCATCTATCCATATCGTAAATCATCTCTTTTAGCATGCCTAATAATAGATTTGATTCGTATTTTCGGATTAAATCTAGTAAAACTGTCAAAAAATAAAAATTCGCTCAAAACAATGAAAAGTACCGGATCACTGAGTAACACTGAAAAGTACCGGATCGCTTTCTAATAAAAAATTTTAACTTTAACATAACCTCCAAATTTTGCTTATTTTTTAAATAAACACACTCAGCTCACCCATGGAAATAAACAACAAGGCGCATATTCATAGTCATATTTAGTACTCAACTAAGTCGAAACTATTCTAAGTCACAACTAAAGCTATTCATAGTCGCCTTAGTTTCGACTTTTCTGGCTAAGTACCAACTTAAAATTTAGTTTCGGCTGCAGCTGCAACTAAGTCGTAACTAGGAAGAAGTATTTTATCAAATTAAGGGAAAACAGACGAAATATGTAAAAATTAAGTTGGTAGAGGGTGATTTTGATAATATTGAATAATCTCCAATTAAAATTTACAAAGATCGATCCATTTTAATCAGAAGATGAAATTAAATGCTTATTAAATTCGAATAAAGCTACATCACAATTTTATAATTGGAATAATTTAGATAAATTTTCAAATAATAAGTCAGTTTCACGCTAGTTCTTATAAAGTAAATTTGTGCATAACATTTAGATATCTACTATTTGTATGTTTCACAGCATGCTTTCGATAAACATCGACTTCACATCACTGCGGTTGTTCTGGCTATTTCACACAATTAGCAAGAAAATGATACCTTATTCTTTTGCATAATCATGCAATGAAAATAAAAATTACATAAACGGATGATCAGACTTGATATTATTTAATAAAAATGTAATTTTTCCACAATATCGTAAAGAAAAATCGATACATTTTCACATTCGGTTTGCTATATCGTAAACTAAGTCGAAACTACTTAGTAGAAGTCTGAAATGCGCCTATGAATAGAGGTAAATTTTAAGTTTTTACTTAAATTTAAGTTGCAACTTTGTTAGTTTCGACTTAGTTGCTGGACTAGGAATACGCGCCCAAGTAATTAAATATTTTATAACGTGCACTAGCAAACTGCACTTTTCATTTGTTTATAATTTGGTTGTCAAACATATTACACCCCAGCAAACATTGAGGTTAGTTATCGATTAGATACTGATTGGAGAACTAGCCATATTCTCCAATCTCAAACGTTTGAGATCGACTCGAAAAAGTATCGAGAATCATAGCAATCTCAACAAAAATGGGACATAGTTCTCGACTCGAGAAAATATAAATTCTCTAATCGAATTCTAATGTTGTTCCCTAATGGGACTCGAATTTGAATTTCTGCTATTTTGCTTTATTAAATAAAACGCTTTGTTGGTAAAATTTTCATTAAATGTATTTGCAATAAAATAATAATGAATTATTTGAACTTAAAAAAATTATGATTCATTCATTTGGAATATTGCTTATTTACACTTATTTGAATTTGCGTTGTTTCTCTAATCGTACTCGAATCGAATACTTATGTAGTTCTCTAACTTCGTCATCGACTCGAGAACGATTAGAGAAATACCCTAGTTATCTAATGTAGAAATCCAAATTTCTCTAACGTTAGAGACTGTGTTCGCTGGGAGCTGTCCGTTTGAAAAATGGTAAGTTCGAGCTCATATGGGATCACAACTAATAGGAGCAATCCCGTATTCCTCGGACTCGGACTAGCAAAACTGTCAAAAAATAAAAATTCGCTCGGAGCGAGAGAGTAACATTGAAAAGTAGGGGATCGCTTTCTAGTAAAAAATGGTAACTTCGGTCAACTTCAACATAACCTCCAAATTTTGGTTGTAAATTTTTGCTTATTTTGTATGTAAACACACTCAGCTCACACATGTAAATAACCAAAAAAACTTTGAAAATTCATTAAAATCCA